ATATCGGTTTGGTACGAATCCATTTACGAAACATTCAGAGATCTTCATAATACTTCGACATTGAAACACATATTTGAATCTGTGTCTCTGAACGATTTTTTCGTTACTGTTAGGAGTAAATATAATTAAGTCGCTTAAAAGGCTACATATATTAACTTTGCTGACTTCTGTCACAACGTATTCTGTCAACAAGGTTTTCAGCTTACATTTATACAAAAAAACAAATTCAGGTCAAATTTGGATGCTACCCCTGAAAAGCGCTTACAGCTTTCAGGCATTATATCGAACTATAAAGCAATAATAAATAACAGTAAAACATTTCATTCTTCACATTAAAATTTAAAGTATGTATACTATTTCTAGTAAAAGTTTTTATTCATATTTAAATTCCACTGCCTTTGAATTTTGTGTAAATGAAAGGTGTTTAGTAAGGGTTCCATTATCTTAAAAGTCCATTTTCAAAAGCTACTGAAGAAATTTGGAGGAGACTTGGTAAGACGGTTAACAGCCTTTATCCACATACTGCAGAAATTCCTGTACCACTGACTCTAGCAGTGGAAATTAATATGAGGAAGACACCTTTAAACCCAAGTTGCTTGAAAACTGGAGCCAAATTTTCAAGGTCAGATTTGGGCGCTACGGGACAAATTTTATAAGCTGTAATATTTTAGTCCACATAAATTTTGTTGGTCTATGTTATCTTTTCTTAGGTGAATGTTTGAGCCTCTTTCGAAATTCAAAAACAGGCAAAACAAGAAATAAATAAAACAAGTAATTTTTAGGCAAAAAAAAACGACTTCAATTCTCATAAAAATTTTAGATTATCGTTAATTTTTTCATGATCCGGACCACCTGTGAGGTAACTCCTTTCCTTTAAAAAAGAATTATCGAAATCGGTTAACGTGGTCCAAAGTTATGCGGTAACATACATAAAAACAAAAAATAAAAATAAAAAACATTTCCGACGAACTGATAACTTTTCTCCTTTTTGGGAAGTCGGTTGTAGTTTGCGGCTTTCATATCCTCCCACACATACAGATATATTGCATCAATTTATTGTTTTACAGAGGCTCGAAAATGCCCTAAACGTGTTTTTCGGTACTTTTAACCAAAGTTGCTCGAAAACTGGCCCCAATCCAATGTTTTGACGGGCAGATTCGGATTCTATAGGAATAATACTATAAGAATCTGCTATAATATTGTACTTAGGAGAATTTTGTTGGGCAGTGTTATTTATTAGGTATATATGTAGGTGTATTTGTATACGACTGACTTATCGCAACATATTTCTTTTGTCTACTTTTTATAGTTCTGGTTTATTTGTGTGCTTGTGCACATGTGTGTGTGGGTTTTTTTATACGTTTGAATATTTCTTATATTTACAACGAATGAGATTTTTATATCGTCAGTAGAGCCGCTGAAATGAAAAAAGGCACAACTAACTAAAATTTGTCATTGCATAAAACGATTTGGGGACTTATAATTCGATGAAATGCATCATAATTAATCAAAAGTGAACTTTGAACTTTTATTTACTTACGCCTTTTTGTATTTCAGCGACGTAACTCACACGCCCTTTCCGTACTATATGTATATTTGCGCGTCTAGTGCAGATGATAACGAGAGGTAAGGTTAAGCTAAGCTATATAGCCACTATGTGGTGCCGCCGAGACTATTTAAGTCCATAACGTGACCAGAAGAACTGCGAGATAATTAACAACAATAAAAAGAAAGGGAAAATGTGGGAAATCATCTTTTCGCCTTGAGTTTCTCATTTCGATGAAATGTTGCAGCAAATATCACCCGAGGGCTTTGCTCCAGCCGGCGAAATTCGTCCAGTGAATTGGCTCTGTTTATACCTTAACAGTTTTTTTTTTCATGGGCGTTGTGGTAGAGCACTATGTACTCTCAAGTGTCCTTATAAAACCACGAAAAGCAGGATGTTTCGTCAAACTCCGCACCCCACGAGACTGCCATCAAGCACTACCACGTGAGGGGGAAAGCCCGCTACTACGCCGTAGCCTTTCGAGGGTCCTTAGCTTCTTCATCGTCTCTGCTATTGCTTCGCATGCAATTGTCCATTTTTTTCTGCCTTGTAGCATAGTCTACATGAGTGACTCCTGCATGGAGTTCTCGCGAGATATATTTCTATGCTTGCATCTGTTACCAGAGTCCGACCGATTTCAATTTTTTTCAGGTACCGATGCCGATTCCATAAAAAATTACAAATAAATGTATTAATTCATAAAATCAGTTAATTTCACGGAGTTAACAATACAAAGGAAAACAAATAATTGAATTAATTAGCTTGTTATACAACATTACATATGTATGTATGAACATACATATGTATGTGTAAAAATATATGTACATACATACATATCCCTGTAGGGAAACCCCGAACTGGTGAACCAAATTTTTAGTTCCGTACTAGATCTTTATCGCCAAAAACGAACCAGTCCGATAGTAACTAGATCGCCACCAGTTCAAAAGCACCGATATGTGGTACTTTTAAAAAACAATTTCAGAAATCTATATATAAAATGAATTTAGAACTGGTTCAAAACTATAGAAAAAGGGATGCAGAACGAACTAGATCTCATCTGGCGAATTTTGAACTATTTCGAAACTATTGAAAAAGGGATGCAGCGGTTGGCTTGTTTACTTTAAATAGATTTTTGCTTGGAGGGTTTTTCGTTCAAATACGCTTTCAGTCTGCACGTCGCAGATGCTTTTTCATAGTTTGGCAATACAAAACTAATATTTGTGTTAGCATCTTAACATTTTGGGACCTTCTGGAATATAACCAATAACAGTCAGCAGCTCTGCAAATTCAGCTACAGCCAAAGGTATGTAAACGTGTTTTCAAATGTACAATTTAATTTACATTCATTCAAACAAATTTGATTTCAGATTGAAAATACATTTCTCTGCAAATAATTGAAATTTTCTACCATGGTAACCCAAAAAGAAAACATGTTGTTACTTTTTTCGTTTACAACTGGTTCGAAACTATAGAAAATGGGGTGCAAAGCGAACTAGATCCCATATGTCGAATTTAGGACTGGTTCTGAACTATAGAAAAGGTAATGCAGCGGGGGACAATTTCCAATTCCTATGACATCGCTGTGTTAAATTCGCCAGTTGTGTGCATGCAAAAGAGATTTAACGCGAACTAGTAGTGGTTCTAAATGTACTAGAAGCGCAACAGTTCAAAACTAGAGATTTTCCCTACAGGGTATATCACACTTATGTACATTACATTAAACACTTTTTCATATGGTGCTAAGCAAGAATTATTTAGGAGCATAAAATTTCATTTCGTTTTGTACTAAAATGCACTCAATGCATAAGAACTTATATGCTAGGTAGGCATGTACATACATACATACAGTGGTCCATAAAACAAAAGAATTGCGTTATGTTGACCTGTTTTGGCATTTGTCTTTTGTTTAACTAATCTTTATTGTTTTTTTATAAAAGTCTAGCTGCTATGCAATAAACAACATATAAATTCAGATTTCAAACTTTGTACAAAAATTAGAAAAATTCTGCTTATTTTCACCAAAATTTCAAACTTTTTAATCGGAATTTTGGTATGCCGTTTTTTACACCATTTAATTCTAGTATAATAAAGTGCAAGTTTCAAGTTGCTATAAAAGCCCGTTAATTTTTGGCAATTTATTTTTTGGTGGCAGTGTGCTCCATATAAAAGAAAAGTGTCGAACATAATATTGCACACCGTCTTCAAAAGAGTCACAACTCAAAATCTGGCATTTTTGAAATTATGCGCTAAAAATGTACACAGAGCTTTTATTTACCTTTCAGCAAAAGCTGGAGCAAATTTTTGTTATAATTTGTTAAGCCTAAGGTAAAGTCGCCCTTGCCCATATGATTAGAATGTGCAACGAAATAGTTTTTCGCATTTTCTGACGAACGTATTATTTTGAGTTGTGACTCTTTTGAAAACGGTGTGCGATATGTACATTTGTATGGAAAAAACGTGGAACACCTTCAACAAAGAAAAAAAAATATCATTTTTGTATTTGCTGTCGCTTCACCTGAAATATGAAAAGAAATTCCAAAGAATCGGCGAAAAAGGCCGATGCCGATGCCGATTAATCGGTCGGACTCTACCAAGATCTTATGAGTGCGCTTGGGCCACACAATTTCAATTCATTTTTATTGCTCTCAATATTAGCTTAACGCAACCACGATTCGGTTGCCAACTGGCAACTGAAAAGAAAATTTGTATTACGAATAGCAACTATCGTCAGTTGCTGTAGAGTCGAAATTTGACAGTACGGCAACTAGCAAGTGGTTGTAAACAAACAGTGCTAGCAAAATGAAACTATTCAAATAAATAGTTTTAATTAAAAGTTTGTAATAATTCCAAGTTAGTGAACTATTTTTTGAAGAGGGAGAGCACCGCATGAACGCGGCTTCAATCAGGCCATATTTAAGGGATAATTCCAATCCTGGAACTACTGCCTGCACTGTAAACAAAAGTTAATGCTTTGAAGGCTTTTTATTTATTATTTGTTTGTGTTCAAGATCAAAGCATATTCCGAACTTCCAAAAGAGGTTGTAAAATGATGGTTAATATAAAGAGCAACGACTTCGTTCAACTTCAATACCTCGGCTCTTTAAAGCATGCGCGCTCTTCGATTTTTCGCAAAAGGAATTCTCAAGGCAATGGCTTCAATTTGGAATTTTGGTACGTCGGTAGTTTTGAAAGAGGTGCTCGCGCTAATAGAATCAGCAATCAGTTTGCCCTTTAGTTACACTAAAAGCGCGTACTCCACGGCCATCCGCCATCTGTAATATCGTTTTGGCAACTAGCAACGCAACTGAAGTTCGGTTGCTATCGATAATCGACCCATAAGCCTCCTAGTATTCGTCTTCGTATATGTGAGCGTACGTTATAATGATGGTATTGGTTATTGTAATGGTAATGGTAATTCTCTTGGTAATGGAGAGGGTATTGGTAATGGTAGACAATGGCAATGGTAATGAACTGCATAAAATATTGTCGTTTCCTACTTTCGGCAGGTTTTGGGAAATCGCGATTAAAGTTTGGAATGTAATCTCTCAAAAAAAGCCACGATTTATTTACTAGTTCAATAAATTCTAAAATTATTTTATATTTATTGTTTATTGTTAAATATTTTTGAGTTTTTTAAGGATTTTCTCTAGTAAAAACTTGTCATATGCTACATTGGTCAACACTTTTGCAGCCACTTTGTAGGATATACAACAAAGTTTGTTTTGTATAACTGCATTATTAACATGTTTCACTGTATCTATAATTAAAAATCCTTAAAATTGCGCTTACGACAATCTTTTATCTCGGTTCGTATTTGGCTTGGTGTGCGTGTCCGTATTTGGGTTCGTTTTTGTAATTATATTCGGCACGACTATATGTGAGAGCAGCGTACTATAAGTCTGTAGGGCCCAGGTCCGATCCTCGGATCGAGCGATTGCCAACATTTTTTGCTTATAGTATTTACTTATTTTTGAATTTTATTTGATTTTTTTCTTTTGTTTTATTTCATATGACATTATCTATTTTATGACTAGTTACTTGAAATTTGTATGTTTAATTTTAATAAAACTATTATTACATTAAAAAGTTAATGATAATAACAATTAATCAAATAAAAAAAAAAAATGAAAATTATATTGGCAGTGAGATCCGATCCCACGACCTCGCGGCTCGTTAATCCGCATTACTGCCGTCTCCCAAGGTACAATTTCGATTAGATTACCTGCGCCGTTAATCTAGCTTAACGTTGTCGTCTGCATATGCTTTTAGTATTTGTCTTAGAATTCCTCTTCAGTTTTGTATCCATCTTTGTATTTGTAACTAACATTTGCTGCCAAAAATTGGATTTGCTCACCGAAGATCTTGGCTCGTACCTTATCCATTCGTCCTGAAATATACTAGCCAGAAATGCGATTGCTTTATAAAAAAGAGAGCCATTTTGAAATGTGAGTGCTTTTACTCTCTAGAAAATAATTTACATAATTCACATACGCGGTTTTGTACTTTAAACGACGATATGTACATTAAATGACATAGGTACATAATAGAGGTCTACATCAGAAGATATTTGGCTTCATATTGAAGTTTTCTAGCGAATACGCTTCCTTCTCTTCCTCTCACTGAGAGCGCGGTTAGTGAAGAGAAGTATAGTCGCTAACACCCGATTTACATGATTCAAGTACTTGAAAGCAATTCTTGCTCATTCTCTTTTGTGTTTTCTATTTGCTTTTACACGTTTCAATTCTGTGAATTCAAGTTTTTGGTTCTTTAAATGGGAAGCAACGAAAATGCCAAAAGCAAAGCACGAAAGTTGAAACGACATGACGGTACAGACGCATGTGTACTCGTCCCTTTTCTTCTCACCCCCTATTGAATTCAATACTTGAACTGTGTAAAAGCAGTCTAAGCGTCGAGTAACTAAGTAAAGTACTCGACAAAAATATGTTCCGAAAAAGAGAGGAACATAAAAGACGAGTACTACGTTGTGAAACTTCCGCAAGTAAAAGGTTCCTTCATGTGAAGTTATCAAGTATTTTATATATGAAATATGATATGTCTCGTGCACATAAAATATATTTACTTTTATTTCTATACGTTTTTTTTTT